GGGGGGGGGGCTGCAGCCTGTCAACCTGTAAACTTCAGGAACGATGCCTTTTTGCAGCAAACATGGCTTGAGCTAAGTTGCGGCTGGCCAAGGACCAAGATGAATGCGTGATTGTAATGCAGAGCCTGTTTCGGCACCAAGCTCCTGTGACAGGGATGAATAGGTGCTGGCTCTAATAAGACTGAGCCAAATAGCATCTTAGGAAAGCTGTGTGGTAATAAAATAATGAAACGGGATGGAATGAATTGTGAATGGAAGTATAGGAGGCACGTTTCAGCGTGAGCCATATATCCCCAAAGTCGTCACGAGGGAACCTTCAGCCCCTGAAGCAAGTGACCTCTTCCAGTTATGGGGAAATGTGGAGGGTACAAGAGAGGCACATGGACCTCCAACTCTCATCGTGGCCCAAGTGCTGTGCTGCCTCAGCCCAGGCTTACAGGAACAACAATATCAGTTCCTGTTACATACAGCAGAGCGGGATGAACGCTCGCCTGAGCCAGTACGAAAAGTCTTCTCCGAAGAGATTACAAACTAAAGTCAGTGGTTCGGTCACCTGCCACCTAACTCTGAACATACGTGTGCCTCCACACCTACAATACCTTTGTAACGAACCTCTTGTGTGACAGAATATTTTTCACTGCGTAGCATCCTGTACAACCACACAGCAGCTGGGGGGTAATTGCTGACTGTCCTGGAAAATGGTGCAGCCCAGTTTTTCACAGGCAAATGGCCGAACACAACCGTTGTTAAAGGACTCTTGCAGTATCTCCACAAATGGCAGAGGAGCAGCGTCACCAAGCCATGACACTTGCGCCAAGGCCCTCTCTTGCAATGGGCCCAGAATGTGGTGGTGTGGGCGGTGATGTGCACGGGACACTGCTGCTCTGTGAGCTGCGCTGGTTGTTGGGTGCTTCTGGGTGCGATTAAAGGTGCTGGTTAATACCTTAAAAGCCCTTCATGGCCTGGGGTCTGGTTACTTGTAGCTACCTATCTTCCACTGTTTCTGCCCATTCACTAAGACTTGGCAGAATGAGTACATTCCAGGCCCCGTTAATTAAACAGTGTCATCTGTCAGGACCTAGAAATGTGCCTTCGCTGTCACAACACCTGCTCTCTGGAATAGGATCCCCCTGCAGATCGATATGGCTCCCACCCGGACGATGTTCCAAAAATCTTTGAAGGCCTAGCTGTTCCCCCAGGGTGGGGCGGCTGCGGAGCCCCTCCCTGTAAGCTTCCCCCCTCCCCTGTTTTGCTTGGTTTCTGTTCTCTTCTGGGTGGACTGTGATCTGTTTCTCGATTGTTATTGTTCTTGGTTCTAAAGTGTCCACTGCCCAGAGTCCTTTGGAGCTGGGCAGCCTCATGAATAAACAAAGCAAGCAAGAAGCAACTGACAGCTCAGCCCTCAGTGGTGAGTCATAGGATGCTCGGACTGCTGCGTGACTGAATGTAAGAAGCTCCCTGCTGGGTCAGACCCAACCACTTCTCCGCGGTTGCTTTCGATAAGTCCACACAGAAGGACTGAAGGCAGTATCTCCTCTTTCTTCCCTGCAACCGTTGTTCTGCCTGGTGGTGTACCAGTCCCCCTCTGCCAACCCCCAAAGGATTGGTCCGTAGATATATGTGCACCACGTGAAGTTTTCGCCGTTAAGTGGTGCCTTCTTGTATGAATGGACCATCAGCAAATCAGACATGATTTTTAGGAAGCCTCCACCCCTGCTTTTTATTCTGCTGTGAGACAACTAGGGAGTGAAGAATCAAGCAGTGCAATTGCACGTTTGAACCAGACTGAAAAGCGGATAGGACTTTTGAGGGCAGAGACAATGTCTTCGTTTGCCATATATACGTAGTTTCTTTCTTCTGCACATTGTACAAGTTTGGGGGCCACTTTGTATGTGCCTACATATTTTTTACTTAAATTTGCAGCAAGGTAGTCATAGATGAAAGTTGTAGCTTTTGCTGTGAAATGAAGAAAGGGTTCGGAAACGTGACCTGTATCCTGTCCTTGTACTCAGACGCTGTTGCTGTTTATGAAACGTTGACAGGCCAAGGTAAAGCATTCCCATCAGAACAGCTCATGTACCCAACTGCATCATATTTTGTGAGCCAAAGCCTTATAATTAAAGTTTTCTTGAGTTCTGGGTGTTCACAATAAAAGAAATCTTAGAAGAACTGAAAAGAGATCTTTTGCCAGTGTACATGACAGTAAGACTGTAATGGAGGTTTTAATGGAATTTTTGCCCAAGAATACTAAATAAAATTTCGATCCTAGAAAAACTGTTTACAAAAGAATAAAATCTACATTTCTTTCCAGCTAGGGAAAGCAAGCAGGTGAGTGTAAAATGCAGATCGTTCAGAATGAAAGTGACTTATCCTTTGCCTAAGAGATGCTCAAGGACATCTCTTTAAAAGGCTATCATGATAAATAACTATTCTGAAGGAAATAAACATCACTTCACAGGATTGCCTTTCCACTATGAGATACTCAGGTATGTCAGAGTCTGCACACTCATTTCCCAAGTTCAGTAAATCCTCTGGACTCTAATTAGTTC